CTCCTCCTTCCCCTCCTCCTCCTTCTCCTCTTCCTCCTCCTTGTTCTCCTCTTCCTTCTCCTCTTATTCCTTCTCCTCCTCCTCCTCCTCCTCCTCCTCCTCCTTCTCACCTCCATAGCAACCTGCCCAGAGGGAGGCCCAGGGAGTTGGATGCCCACCCAGGGCACTTGCCTACCCCTCCTTCTGACACTGCCCCTTGGCCCTCCTTCCCCACTCTGTCCTTGGCCCTCAACCTTCTCCCCTCTGAGGGCTTCAGTGGGTCAGGTGGGGCCCATGCTGAGGTTCTGTTCTCTCTTCTCCCCTTCTCTACTTGGTGTCCATTGTCACTTATATTCATGGTGACTAATGGCGATAATCGCATCCTCCTGTGCTCCCAGGTCCATGAAGCTTCCTCTCTTCCTCCTGCTGGTGGACTGTCGTGCAGCCCTCCGTGGCCTTGGCTGTGGCCTTGGTGCCATGGTGCCTGCACTCTGGAGCTGGCCTGAGCTGGAGCCGGTTCATTTCTGTAGTGCACTGGAACAGAGCTGGACCCAGGGTGACTGCTCTCACTGTCCAGACGATGGCGGCCACAGCCAGGGCCCCCTTTGACATTTTTTTAAACATTTATTTTTTAGTTGTAGTTGGGCACCATACCTTTATTTCACTTATGTATTTTTATGCAGTGCTGAGGGTCCAACCCAGGGTGCCTCACAGTGAGGCCAGGGCTCTGCCGCTGAGCCACACCCCAGCCCCTCCCTTTGACCTTGAACTCACGTTGCCTTCATGTTCTTTCTTTACGTGGCAGCTACCTGATTTCCCTACTGGAATTGTCTTCTTTAGGCAGAGACTATTTCTTTTCTTAATTTTTAAAAAATATTTGTTTCAATTAGTTACACATGACAGTAGAATGCACTTTGATACCTCATAAATAATGAAGTGAAATTTCTCATTCTTCTGGTTATACATTATGTAGAATCCCACTGTCACATAGGTATATATGTAGGTAGGGTAATAAGGTCTGATTCACTTTATTATCCTTCCTACCTCTGTCCCCTTCCCCTCGCTTCACTCCCTGCTGCTGGGACTGCAAATTGGTGCAACCATTATGCAAAGTGGTATGGAGATTCCTCAGAAAACTTGGAATGGCACCACCCTTTGACCAGCTACCCCGCTTCTTAGTTTATACCCAAAGGACTTAAAATCAGCAAACTACAGTGATGCAGCCACATCAATGTTTATAGGAGCTCAACTCACAATAGCTAAACTCTGGAACCAACCTAGGTGTCCTCAATAGATGAATGGATAAAAAAATGTTTTACACACACACACAACACACACACACACACACACACACACACGATGGACTATTACTCAGCTTTAAAAAAGAATGAAATTATGGTATTTGCTGGTTAATGGATGGCGCTGGAGAATATCATGCTAAGTGAAATAAGCCAATCTCCAAAAAGCAAAGGCTGAATGTTTTCTCTGATATGTGGATGCTAATTCACAGTGGGGGGTGGGTAGGGAAGAACTGAAACCTTTTCTGCTGACTCCTTGTGTCTCCTTCAGTGCTGGGTATTGAGAGTGTGCACAGCAACAATAACTGCACACACACACACAACACAACCTGGGAACAAATGACTGTATTATTATAAAGAAATGATGCGTTGGGTATTGCCTCTTCCTTCAGAGTCTTGCCAGAGACCGACCCCTCCCAGCAGACACTGCCCCTCAGCTCTTCCCATGGCTCCCCTAAGGGGGGAGGCTGGGGGGGGCACTCTGGCCTCTTTTCACTGCCTTGTTTATTTGTCCCAGTGCTCAGTGGTTTTGGTGCTGCTCTGGGCTGATAGTGATGAGAGCAGCTGGTTGCCCTGGGTGTCCCAGCTTCCTGGCATCCTGCTACGGTGCTTCTTGTGCGTGATCTCTAACCCTGTGGGGAAGGCAGGGTTAACTCCCTCCCACTCCGTTTACAAAAGAGGAAACTGAGGCGCAGAGGGTCCCAAGTTTTCGATGCTCTTCTCTCACATACCGTGTGTTGCAAGTCTTTATATGGGTGATCTCACTGAATTTTCACAACGACCAAAGGGGTAGGTGGCATGGCGAACCCCATGCTGCAGTAAGGAAACGGAAGCACACAGAGGTAGGTAACTAGTTACCTAGCCTGTGTCAAGCTTGGCTGTGATCGGGTCTTCTAGCACCCAGTCTTTGGGCTTGGTCCTGCTTGGCCCTCGTGCTTGTGTGAGAGCTCACCTGTCTTGTCTGCACCCGTGGGCTCTAAGCCCTTTGTGCTGAGGTCTGTTTTTGCCTCTTCCTGTGTGTCCTGAGCTTGGTGTTAGGCTCTCTGGGATGTGGGCTGCTGGGGAAGAAGTCAGTCCTCCCGTGTCTTTCCCCAGTGACCAGGGCCTGGGAGGGTGAGCCGAGATGACCCCATCCCTTGCTCTATAATGTAGGAGCTACTGGCTGGATTTGGAGCTGTGCCCGTGCACAGATAAAATGCCCCGGATGGCACAGGGCCCTTGATATCTGGATGCCAGAGCTAGCAGAACCAGCAATCAGCTGACTTCCAAGAAGTCTTATCTGCGTTTCTCTCTGTCCCTGCCTGGATGGACTCACCCCAGCCCCTTCTCTTCACAGGTATATAAGCTCCTTTATGCTTCCCGTCTGGCAGATTATGGCCTGGCCTCCCAGGCCCTGCATTACTGCGAAGCCATCGGCGCAGCTGTCCTGAGCCAGGGAGAGAGTAGTCACCCTGTGCTATTAGTGGAGCTCATCAAGGTGAGTGTCTCAAAGGGTCCTCTGCAGGAGTTTTATCTTCAGTGTTCAGAGAAAGCTATTGTAGAGCAGCTTAGACTTCACATTTCTTCTTCTTTGAACATGCTGCAAAATTGGAACCCACAGCTGTCTTTGACCACATAAGCGTGCCCCGATGTGATAAGCACAGAGAAGGATGTGCTGGGTGGGGGGTGGTGAGATCTGGGGGCTGGAAACCAGGCATGTGCTCCTTGAGACATTCATTCTTGCATCTGCTTTTCTGGTACAGTAAAACAGTGTGCCATTGTGAGTTGTTCTAATCACAAAAGCCAGCATTAGAAAATATATTTTAGTTGATTAAAACAGGAAATGATCCTTATTAAAATGCCTTTAAACGCATGGAATATTTTATCACATATGGGATACATTTAAAAAGAAAACAAAAAACATATCAACCCTTAGTTCCTGGGGAAGTAAACAACAATCAGGCAAATAGTTGTTCCAATTAATTGAAGAAAAATCCATTAGCTGTGGAGCAAAAGGCAGCTTGTCCTTAAGGTTTTGCTTTGGCTTAGAGGAGGCCCACGTTTTGGATTCTGTAACAGGTAAACCTTGTGGTGCTGACTTCCTGTTCCCTGAAATTTCTGGCAACAGGTTGATGATTGCAAGGGGCTTTGGGACCCAGGATGGATGATTGGGGTTTGGGGACATGATCATGGAATGAAGCCTCTCAGTGACCTCAGCCACCTGGGAGCTGTTAGAAGTGCAGGTCCCAGGCTCCACCCAGGAGGCTGGAATCAGAATTAGCCTTTGTAACAAGGTCCTGGGTGACTCCTGTGGGCCCTGAAGTTTGGAGGCCCTCTTACAGAGAAATGGCCAGGAACCGTTTCTCATCATATTTTGTGTAGTATCCAACACCAAAATGGGCTACTTGTTTTAAGTGTGCTGCCATTTTGGGAGGGCATCTGCTGGATCTCCTGTTTCTTGTTCTTTCAAACCGAACTTACAAGTTACTTACGGCTCTTTCTCCTTTCCGCCCCTTTCCCACCCTCTTCCCTGTCTTCTATTTTTCCCTCTCTTCTTGGCCCTTCTGGCCTTCTGGAAACCCGGCACAGCTGGCAGAGAAACTGAAGCTGTCAGATCCTCTGGCTTTAGAAAGACGCCGTGGGGACAGGGACCAGGAGCCAGATTGGCTACTTCAACTGCGGAGGAGGCACAGGGAGCTGGAGGTGAGGAGGAAGGAGCTGCGTTTCCGTCTTCACTCCCCTAGAAATAGAATAAGCTCACCAAGTGCCTGCGGAGCCTCCCACCGTCCCTGCTACCCAGGCTGTGTCCTGGGAAGGGTGGGACTCCCAGGGACCTGTGGCTGCTTCTCTTCCCGGTCTGAACTATGTCTGCATGTGACACAAGGGGGCGCACTTCCAAACCACTCTTGCCACCCTTCTCTGAGGTCCCAAAGAATGTGTTTCGTGACCATCAAAGCTTCCCCATCTCTGCTAGGAACAATGGATCACAGTGGACCTGTGTCACTTTCATGTAATGTAGGGCAATTGCTTAAAAGACTTCCGGGCCTTTTCTTTGTTCTGACAATTGCAAAAGCTGTTGGCTGTAATCAGAACCTAATTGGAGCAGGGCCTCCCCCATTTTCTTTCTTCCACTCTGCTCTGAAGAAAGGACAAAGTGGATTTTTAAAAGCATGCAGCCTTTTCTCCCTCCTTCTGCTGCGGACTCTGAGGCCTACAATTTAGTTCTTTCTATCTGCCCCTCACTCTGGGGAGAATGGATGTGTTGGTTTGCGGCCATCTCTGCTGCTCTAGCTGCGTTGGGAGACCTGGGAGCCAGTGTCCTGGGCCCTGAGCACGCAGTAGTCCCCTTTCCTTGTCGCTTCCACTGGAATTTTCTTGTTGACTTAATTTTTCAACGATCTTGTCCCCTGTCCTTGTTGTTCTTAGGCCGCTTAAAAGGATTTTACTTTATTTTGAATAGCAAAAGGCAGCAGGAGACGTTGGAGATCCTCCTTCTGCTCGCTCAGATATTTCAGGAGCCAGAGGAAGAATCACAGGTATCCAAAACGATGCACGGACACTGGATGGGACTGTAGTAGATGAGGTAGCTTAGGAAGTGCCACCCTTGCGTCCCCATTGCTCCAGCTGCTCCCCCATAGGCTTCTGTGGGTCTCACACCCGGACACTTCTAAATCCCTGCGCTGTGAGAGTTTCTGTCTCATAGTCGGGCTTCTTTTTTTTCTGGTACCAGGGATTGAACCCAGGGATGCTTAACCCCTGAGCCACATCCCCAGGCCTTTTTATTTTGGGACAAGGCTTCACTAGGTTGCTTAGGGCCTCACTAAGTTGCTAGGGCTGGCTTTGAACTTGTGACCGCCTCAGCCTCCTGAGCCTTTGGGGTCATGGGCACCTGCCACTGTGCCCAGCTCACAGTCAGGCTTTTAAGTGCCTCTTATGCGTGTTGCTTCACCTATATTAGTGCCTTCTCCCACCTGGATAAGTTTCTTGAGGCCAGAAATCATAGGTTACCTGTGTCGAAGGTGATTGCTGGGACATTGGACGCTCTGGAGATTTTGGAGCTCTCGGTTGCCATCTCACCATGAAATAAGTGTGTTTCAAAGGACGTCACCCCTGTTCCTCCTTCAGGATGCCTCTGAAGGGCTGGTCAGCAGGCGTTATGCCCTCAATTACCTCCATATCCTTTTCCCCAGTTACCACCCTGGTGGGGTCAGGCAAGGGCTCTCGTGGCTTCCCTCCTGGCCATGTCCAGCCTTTGGCACTTCCTTCAGGGAAGAGCAGAGGGGTGGGGAGAGAGGAAGAGGGAGAGAGGAGGGCCTTGCTTTCTGCTTCTGGGATTTGCCACTGAGCCACAGGGCTGCGGAGGTGCAGGCTGGGGGGAGCCAGGCTGGTGTCTCAGGATGGCTGCTTCCTGGCAGCCCTGTCTGCTGATGCCTAGTGGAGCAGTGGGCTAGCGGCCTACCCCAGACCCCGACCTTGTGGCCCGGTCACTTCCCACATCCACACCTTAGGTGTATCTTATCAGCAGGGTCCCTTCCAGGGCAAATGTGCTCTGATTCTTTAAAAGTAAGGTTGTGGTTTCTAAGGTCCAATTTGTTTTTTTTTTTTTAAATATTTTTATAGTTGTAGATAGACACTATATATACTTATTTTTAAGTGGTGCTGAGGATCAAACTCAGAGCCTCATACATGCGAGGCAAACTCTCTACCACTGAGCTACAACTTCTGCCCCCAAATTTGAGTTTTTAACTAGAAGTTTCCTGGGTTTCCAAAACCCAAGTCCATTAGGAACTCCTTAGTGGAGAGTTATCCCAAAATTAAAAGGTGTGGCATTAGATGGGATGGTAATTTTTTCCTCCTGATCCCTGGGTTAAGGACTCAGAGATCCTTCTAGGAAGTGGGGAGGATAGTCCTTTAAGCAGCACCGAGAGGTGTAACTGTCATTCTGTGCTTTGCTAGTCATCACTGAAGCCACGCCAAGGGCTGGTCCTTGGGACTGTGTTCTAAGAGGACAAGGGCAGGGAGGTTTCTGATGTTATTAGTCTTCAGATGGTGCTCTCAGTCTCGCTGTTTCTTTGCCTTTCATCCTTAGACACTTCCTGCCAGGATCTTTTGGGACATCAAGGCCACTCAGAAGTCCCTGGGTACCACTCAGCTCCGTGGCCAACACCTGAGCAGATGGGCCTCCCTGAGCCCAGCCCACAGCAGCCCTTCCCCCTGCAGCAGGGCCCCTACCCAGTGGGAGGAGGTTCAGGGCACATGGAGGCGCCGGTGCCTCTCTACTCGGTTCCTGAGACCCGTCTCCCAGAGCCCAGCAGTGACAGTGGCGGTGACAGTGTGGCAGTGACAGGGGCTCCTGGAGGAAGGGCCTGGGAGGAAGCACTGCAGATACACCCTCCCTCTGGTAAGACCTGCTGGCCGGTGGATGCCTTGGGAGCACAGCTGTGGTGGGAGGAAGCCGGTGAGGGGGGTGCAGGGCCTGGGAGGAGGTGGGGTTGGAGCTGGGGAAGGCAGGGGCGTCCCAGGCCGCCTCTCCCCTGGGACAGGTAGAGCAGGACACACAGTCCCTCCCGCCCTCTCCTGGACCACCGAGTCTCCAGGGAGCCACTGCAGGGTAGAGAAGTCAGGAAAATGCCACCTGTGCCTCGTTCACATGGCACCGCAGGGCAGGCCTGGCCGGACCCTCTCCCTGAGTCCTCCTACACCCAAGAGCTCATTGTCAGGGACTGTGGCAGGAACCTGTGCCCCTGTCCCAGTTCTGTTTCTTCAGGTCCAGGAGACCTTGGACAGCAGGGGCTGAGTGTGGGGGATCGATGCTGGGTCATACCCGCACAGTGCTGGGAGCCACAGGGGAGGACTAGATTCTTGGACCTTCTAAAATAAGACCCTGGCCAAGATGGAGACTTCCATGGAGCGGAGGCTGGGGGATCCCTGTCTCTCGCTCCCTGTTGCTCTGATTTCCCAAATCCCAGCGTGTCCTGGGGTGGCTGGCCACACAAGTGGGCTTTGCATTTCCTGTGACCTCCTTGTGGACACAGGCTCCTTGCTGCTCTGCTGGGAAAATCATCTCCCTTCTGCAGGATGGGGGTGGGAAGCACAAATGCGGGTCACTCTCCTTGTTTCTGTTTGGTGCTACAGGAGAGAGCGCAGCATCCCAAGACACCTCTTGGCAACTCGATGATCCAAAGGACATTTCCAAACCTCAGGTGAAAGAACAAAGCGTGAGTGAGGACGATGCCTACTCAATGGCCCCGGGAGCTTGGCCACACTCCAGCTCCTCCCTGGTGTGGGGAACGTTCTCTTCCGCGTCACACCTGGTCTCTTCTGATTCTTTCCACACAGTCCTGGAAGTTGGAGGGAGGCTGAGTTCTTGCTTATGCTCAGCCCCACCCACCTGTGCTCTGCATGAGGGAGCAGCACAGCTGGCTCAGTTCTGGCCCCAGGGACCTCTGTCCCTTTCCTGCCTCATCCTCCCCAAAACTCTCAGAACCTGCGCCCCTGTAGGAGACTTTGATTTCTATTTCCTTATTTTAATTTGTACCTTGCTTTATATCAAAGAAAGACCTATGGCAGCTGTGACAGTGCCCGTTATGTCTTTTCTCCTTGGTGGGTCTGGGAGGTGACGGAGGCGGCCATGTCTGATTAATCATCCCATCCAGCTGCTGATTGAATGTGCCCCTTCGCTGGGCATTGGGCAGCTTTGGTACCAAACTGCAGATGTTGTGTTAGGAAATGAGCTCTAAGTGCCTCAGGTTCTCTGGTTGCTACGTTTCTTGGGCTTGGGGGTCTCTGTGGGTTGTTTCCAGGCCCTCTTCATCTTCAGTAGTAGCTTCCCTGGCTCCTACACCAGGCCTTGGCGTGGTTCTAGAGCAGAAGCAGAGCAGCCCAGACTCCCCAGGGTGGGGGGACACGAAGGCTGGATTTGACACCAGCCTTGCCTCAGACCTTCAGCCAGTCATTTGTATTTTCATGGCTAAGACTTGCTTCCTCCTCAGTAAGATACGGACTCCCTGAGACACCGTCCCTTGGATTTACTGAGTAGGTGGGGCGAGAGAGAGCGTGTGTGGAAATATGCTGTGTGACCTGCCAAGTGCTTATGCGAAGTCTGGGTCTTTATCAAAATCCAGGCCCCACCGGCCCCCAGAGCGCACAGTTTCTCTGAGAGTTCCACCAACTTGGGCCAGGAAGACCAGGAAGAGTCCTCTGAGGAAGCGGATCAGAAACCTTCCCCAAATGCTGCAGAGAGAGAGAAGCCGGGAGACGTGAAGGAGAACGCGAAGGTGGAGGGACTGGACCTTCTCTTCCCATCCTTCCTTCCTCTTCTGCTTCCTTCCCAAATAGTGGGCAGAATAGGAATCTGGACTAATCTGGACTAGGGAAGCGGTGTCCCCTTCCTTCCAGCCTTTGTCTCTCACTGGGGGCAGTCAATCTCACAGTCACTGGGGGGAAAGGAATCTACAGGCCGTAAAAATCCCTCTTTGCCTTCCAGAGCTCAGGATTTGGCTGGTTCAGCTGGTTTAGGTCGAGGCCCACGAGCAACGTGTCACCCTCTGGAGAGGAGGACACCTCAGACAGCACGGACTCGGAGGTAACCTCCGTGGGAGGGGAAGGGAGTCCCCTCCATGTGGGCCTTCCAGGGGACATCTCTCCAGCTCTGTGGAGCTGTGGGCTGCATCCGACTCCACCCTAGCCTGAATGAAACAGAGTCTTTGCATTGGGAGGCGATTGTAGGAAAGAAATTGGTTCTGGGAGGGCAAGGGCAGATTTCAAAAAGTCTCAATGATCAGGACAAAGGATTTTAACTTCAAAAGACCAACAGGAGGGAGCTGATCTGAATTACTCTGAGTGGAGTTGCAGGCCCTTTGGGTAGAGCACCCCAGTGGCTGGTGCAGGCGGCGACCACTGTTGCTGGTGTGGGACGCATTGCATGAATTTGTTAACCACCAATGTCCTCAGTGCTGCCTTTCTCCACAAAGCAGGAGCCCCCCAGAGCGTCCTCTCCCCACCAGGGACTCTCACCCGTGCCTCTTCTTGAGTCTCCACCTCTGCCTGGTGCTGGCGCCTCCTCCAGGGGCACAGGTACCTACGACCTCTGGGCTGCCTGTGGGGTCATGGTGCTCTTGGGGGTGGAGGTGCCTTCAGGGAGTGGGGACTCCTCCCCAGTCCTGAGCAGAGGGAACGGCTTTGACTCTTTGCCTTCTAGGTGGGGGAGACCTTGGAAGATCCTCGTCCAGTGGGGAAACAGCCGAGGGCACTGGAACTGGGGGGTTCTCGGAGCTTGAGGTGAGCAGCCCCCTGGAGCCGAGGCCTCCGCAGAGCTGTGTATGTGTGGGTGAGCCTGGGCTTCAGCGTGGCCTGGAGGTGTGCCGCCTGTGTGGGGCTGGCCCGTGGGGAGTGTGGAGAGAGTCTGCATTAGTTTCTTCGGTTGATATGACAAAGCCCCACGGACAGGAGGGCTTAAACAGCAGAATCGATTTCTCACAGTTCTGAAGACTAGAAGTACAAGATCAAGGTGTCAGCTCTTGTGCAGCCTTGCTGCTTGGCTTGGTGACGGCCGCCTTCTCCGCGTGTCTTCTCGTGATCTTTCCTGTGTGTGCCTGTGTTCAAAATCCCTTCTTTCTAAGGATACCAGTCATGCTGGGCTAGGCAGCCACATGGCCCCTTTAAAGATGCCATCTCAAGCACAGTCACATTCTGAGATATCAGGGATAGGGCTTTGTCATGACTTTTTGGAGGGACACAATTCAGCTCATGCAGTTTCCTTAGGTGGGTTCTGGAGGACGCCTCTCTCCCTGCCTGGGTGGGGGCTGGAATCCATGGGTGCCCTTGGCTGGGGCTGTGATCAGTTCTTCATGAGTCCTCCACATCACTAGGGATTTCCTGCCTGTTGCTAGGAAAGCAGTTTTGTTTCTTGAAGCCTGATTAGAGCACTTTGGAGTGTTTTAGGCCTTCTGCAGGATGTGGTGTGCTTTTGGACTCTGGCTCTGTCTGCCTGCTCGCTGCAGGTACAGCAGCACCTGAGCCTCTGCACTGCTGGCCGGATCTGGGGGTGGGTTGAGCCCACTTGAGCCACGTTTGTTTGCTGTCAATGTCTTGAGTTTTAGGAGAAACCTTCCTTTCCAGTTGTCTCATGCCAAGTCGATGCTGAGGGAAGGCTTTGGTGTTCTCGACTTGGGCCATTCACTGGGTTTCCATTGTGTTCCTTCCCAGGGTGTCTCTTCTGAGCTCTATTCCAGACCTGGCCTTCTTCCTCCACCTGCCTTGAAGGGGGCTGTTCCGCTCTACAACCCATCTCAGGTTCCCCAGGTAAGGACGCCCTCAGCGGGAGGGTCAGGAGCACAGGTTTTGAATGCAGGAGGCCTGGGTTTCTCATCCGCTGTACCACTTACTGTGGGGACCTATGTCTCAGCTACTGCGTCTGAGGTATGGGATTATTAGAAGCTACCTCACAGATGTGAGTGTGAAGTGCTTTGTACCTAGAAGATACTCAATAAATGAGGGCATTAGAAACACTGCTCTTGACCTTTAACAGGCTTAATTTGTGAGAGCCACAGTTGGTGCTGGTAGCAGTGGTGTGCGTATACCATCCCTCCATCCCGGGGTGAGAGGAGCCAAGCTCCCTGCTCCTTAGGGACTTGGGATTTAACTCATGCTAATGTGGCATTTGGCCTCCCTCTTTATACAATCAAATTTCTTTTTACTGTATTTGGGAGGTGAGGGTAGATCATGAGAATACAACCTTGGGAAGCCACCTGCAGCCAGAACATTCTAGATAGACACTGGGTGTGTGCCTGTGTGTCAGACCTGAGCAGAGTCGTGCTGGGAGCTGTGCTCTGGCCTAATGTGTGTTCTTCTTTTTCAGCTCCCCAGGGCTCCCAGCCTGAGTCGGCCGAGCCGCCTAGCTCAGCGCCGCTACCCAACCCAGCCTTGCTGAGAAGGAACTTCGTCTCCAGCTCTTCTCTCAGGAGCACAGCTTTTCTATTGCTCTGCCTTCCTCAGTCCCCATCCGCTCTGCCATGTCCAGGCCCTCAAGATAGCCATGCCAGCCTGTTGCCTCCACTGGCATTTGGTGGCAAGGGAACAGGATCCCCAAGGGACCGCTCACTCCAGGCTTAAGTCTAGCTTCAGCACGGTGGAAACTCAGATGGAAAATCTGGGTATAAGAGGAGCCAGGAAGTGAGCAGAGTGTCATGGCAGCTGCCCTTGAGAAGGAGGCTTGAGAACCTCAGGAAAAGTTAGGTCCCCAAGAATCCTGTGGCTCACATCGTTGGTGACCCCGCTTGGTGCTGCAGCAGGGCCTCAGAGCAACATTCCAAGAGCACATTGACCCCCCCCTCCCCAGGCTTAGTTATAGAGAGTGCATCGTTCCAGTTTGCAAAGTTTTTACACTGCAACTCGATCACTGCTGCCCTTCAAGGATTCCCTCTTCAATGACATTTCAGCAATTTTCCTCCTGGCCCTAGTTTTCTGCATATTTTCTCTGTGGTTCAGATTAATTATATTTCCTCTCACTTTCTTAGCTGGTCCTATTTTTTCACATTCTGGCATCTGGCTATCAAGTTAGATTGCTGTAGGCATCATATTGTCATGGTAACTACTGAACCTAATGATGCAGATGGATGGAACATCAGTATAATAAATGATGGAAAACGTTTCCTAAAAATTCATCCTCTCCATGAGAGGGCAGGAATGAGTGTCTGATACTGTTAATTCTCCCTTCCTACCTCAGCCTTTTGCAAATTGATGTTCGGAAGTTCATTGGGGCCAGAGAGAGGAGGTGGGGGGATATCTTGGAAATTTCCATTTCTCCTTTCAGACCCAAAATAGGAATGATTCTTGCTGTTTGTCAGACTTGCTGACAATTACTCCTCACAAAGAACAGGTTTTTTTTGTATGTGTAATTGTACATACGGGTTTTGTACTTTAATGTACTACAGTTCTGATGTTGATAGCAATTAAACCCAGATAATTTTATAGAAAATGCTTGTCTCTAGCTGATTTTTGCAGAGGGAGAAAATACATTGATGGGCTCTTCCCTGAGTCTTTCTAATAATGGTTTTATTGTGTGGCCAGGTGTGAATAGCTGGAGAGAGCCTTTTGTTAGAACCCAGGGACTGGTCCTCTTAAACTTCCAAGTCTACTCCAAGTATTATCATTTTTTTTTCAATTCAAAAAATATGGACAAAAGCTCCTTTGACACAAACCAAGTCACTTCACTAACTAAATGTTGCATGTTCTGCTCCTTAAAAAGTTTGTCACCTCTTAAATTAGAAAATGCATGCCCAAGTGTTTTGCATCTAGAAGGCTCTCAGTAAATGCCTGTGCCTGTTCTTCCTTAAAAGGCTGCAGCTGCTTCTGTTTGGTATCCTGACACCTAGTGGCAGTTCTGTGGCAGGAGCTTGGAGTTTCACAGGAGCCCAACTGCCTAGACTTGAATCCTGTCACATGCAGTTCACTTGTAACCTTGGGCAGGGCTACCTTACTGTCCCGTGCTTTACTTGTCTCACCTGTAAAATAGGATGATAATAGTAATAGTACCTATCCTGTGGGGACATTGCAAGGATTAACCAAATCAAGTCCTACCCACTAGAAAGAGCACTCACGTCAAAGGAGGGGAGTGAAGACCAATAGGGCAAAGCCCTCCTCCCCAGGACGACTCGTGCAAGGGGCTGCTGTAGTGCTCAGCACAGCAGGCTCTGAGCGCGCTCACTTCCCAGGCAAAAGAATACCTGGCAGTGAACATGTTTTCCACGAAGGGAAAGGTAGGCTGTTTCTGCGGGAGAGGCAGCAGGTTCCTGTGTTTATGCTAATCTGTCCTCAGGAGTTCTCACTCTGGCAAAGTCAGAATGTGGCCATTAATTTGTAGAGGCTTGGTTAAAACAAATCCCATTGGTCATTGGTCAGGGACGTCAGGTCCGGTAAGGGTCTGATAAAGTTCTTGGCTGCTTATCATCTTTGGCTGGGTGCTGGTGCCGGCATTGCTAAAGGTCATGGTCATTTTACAGCTTCAGCTGGTAAAACCCAGTCATGGTGAAATGAAGCATGTGCAGCTGTCAGAGAAAAGTGCGTCCCCTCCCCGCCTTTGTATGGTGGAAGCTCAGGCAGAGAGAGGGAATGGGAATGTGCTGGGATTAGAGGCCCCATCTCTGCTCTTCCACATCCTGGGAGAGGCTGCAGGGCTTGGGGAGAAGTTGGTGTTGGCTTGGTCACCTGTCCCATGTGTTCTGAGAGCCACAGCCACTTGGTCTTGGGGGATGGCCAGGGCCACTATCTGAGGCAGAGACCCAGCTCCCTGCAGCCTGGTGTGGTGTGGACTCCAGAAAGGAGTAACCGCACAGTGTCCCAGAAGGCCTGATGGATAAGCAGTGGCCCCAGAAGACAACAGGTGAGGTCTGGGCCAGACCAACCCCAGCAAGGAACAGAGCACACCACTATGGCACCCAGGTCCTCCTTCCCATCACCAAAAGCCATTGCAGGAGGGACCGAAGAGAATTCCCTCTCTCTAAACAAAGGGACCACCCAAAACACTGTTTCGAGGGGAAGATAAGATATTACTAGTTGGCAAGTTTGCTTTTCCCTGTGCTTCTCAGTGGAATTTGAACTGCGAGGAAGAATAGACCAGTGATGGGAAATAGAGAAGCCATGTTTTCCTTGCAAAACCGAGCACTAGTGTGTGAATTTGCAATTCTGCTATATACACATAACGTAATATTTATATGAAAACCTTTAAACTTAATGTTCAATAATTTGAAAGAGAACAAACTGTTAAATTCCATGTAAGTGTCTTTATCACACACCACCATTCCAGCCCTCTGTCTAATCCATGTGAGTGGCTATAAAACTCTGAATGAGCCTCGATTCTTCAGTCCCCGGCACATGCGCCCCTTTCGGGCCTGACTCGGCTTCAGGTTGCCTAGCGTGGAAGCCGCTGCTAGCCATCCTGTCCCCCCACCCACCAGGGGCTTTCCTTTTGGTCCTTCCTGTGAGTGACCAAGAAGAAGAACAAGACACTACGTCCACCTCTTCACTAAAGTCAGAATATTTTCTATCCAAGAGGTCATATGCACAATGCTCTTCTGCTTGAAAAGAAGAATAAACATGTACTTTGGGTCTCTCCAGTCTCATGAGGCTTTCTGACTCCCCGCCACCCATTCTCACAAGGAGTGGAAGTGACTTTTTCCCTTTTCTGCTTTTCGCTTTAGGCTGGAAAACGCATATCGGGTGGTGTGGTCTGTGAGTGACAGCACTCAGCCGAGAGGTTGTCCCTAAATGTGGCCTTGAATCCTGCCCGCTCTCATGACACACCTGGCCATCACTCACACAGGCCCCTCAGACATGGCTTCTTAGTGAGACGTACAGTTATTTTCAACAAAGATTAATAGTGTGTTAAAATGCTCTCACTTCGTGGAATCTGCTTCCCACCCTTTCCTCCGCTCGAGTATTTCCGTCTCTAGGTAATAGTGCTTCTCTGGAACAAGGCCACAGTTTGACCTGTGAGAACTGCTTGTTAATGTGAGATGCTTTCCTGGCCCCTGCCCATCTTAGGAAGAGACCACTCAATTTTAACTATTCAAACTTTAAAAATATCTTGGGAGGGGGTTCCGCGGCTCTCCTGGAGGTTTAGCTGCTGGTGCCACATCTTGAGACATTAAGGAGCTGTGCCTGATACTTTGTACCCAAATGGCTCATGTGGCTCTTTAAGACTCTCAGCTGCTTCCCACCACCTCTGCCCCAAATTTCGTCACACTTTGGAAGGCCCCTGACTCATGCCTCAGCTCCTAAAGCGAAGTCCTGCCAAGTGGGGTTCTCGTCAGGAGAGTTGGGGACTGAGCTGGATACATTCTTGGAGTCTTTTGGAAGCTGTGGTGTTAGATATTCTCAATTTCCATAAGAGGGGTAATATTTATCCACGGTGTGCATTTTGAGAGGTAAATAGTCTCGTTATTTCAGCATATAACAAACATCTGAGGAATCAGGGTGAAGAGAGAGGGTACATATCTGGTCCAAGGTTGCTTGGTTGGTAGGGACGGAGCTGGAATTGTAGTCCATGCAGCCTGACTTTAGAATCTGGGCCTTTAGCCATATTGTACCTGGACATATGTTCATTTGTTCACTTATTCATCAAATAATTGAATGGTATGTCAGGCAGTACAGTTTTTTTCCTGGACAATCTGACTTAGACTTGCCAAACGGCCATCACAGAATTCCTTCCTGCATTAAACCTATCCTTTATAGCATTTGGAGGTGGGAAAAAATCACGAATATAGCCATGGACTCCTCTGAAGGGGGGAGGCCAAGATGGGGAGTGATTTTGGTTTTATTCACTTATGTAGTACCATCCCATAAGGCACTCTTCAGATTGTATCTCTTTTTACCTCATCTCCACCCCTGACCTCTTTTATTTCCCTTTCCTCACAATCACTTTTTACTCCCAAGAGAGGAGTATCCAGAGGACATCCTCTCTGTGAGCCATCTTCCAACTGGCTAATACCATGAAGACATCTGTATTAGTTTGTCTTCCATTGCTATAACAAAATAGCCGAGGCTGGATAAAGTCTAAAGAGGTTTGCTTGTTTCACAATTTTGGAGACCCAAAATGCAATATCAGATACCCCTATTTGGCTTTTGGTGAAGGCCCCATTTGGTAGTTGTATTAACTATGGTGATGTAACAAGAAGAGATCACATGGCAATACAGGAAATCAGAGAGGAGGGGCCCATCTTGCTCTTTGTTCATGAGAACCACCTTCATCTGTTCCCAGAGCAGTGCTCCCAATGACTGAACCGTCCGCTATGAGTCTCCACCTTCTAAAGGTTTCACCAACTTCCTCCTTGCCACACAGGGGACCCAGATTCCAACACCCAGGCCCTTGGGGATACACTTAAACTACATGCAAATGATAGTCACACCCATGGAGTCCCCCTTAGCAGAAGAGGATGGATCAGATCCTATGTCAATAAATCCAACTTTTGGCTAATTTCCTTTTTTTTATATTTTCCCAAACCAGCAGCCTTGGCTTTTAAAACTGGTGTCTGAGTTTTCAGAGCCATTTTGCAATGCAAGAGATAATCATGGCTTCTCTCTTGCTTTTGTGTTCTACAATCATCGTTTGGGATCACGAGAAAACCTTGTTGTATAGGAATAGAAATTATTGGAGTTTGGGGTCTCAAGATTTTATTCTTACTCCTTTGGATATTTTAGATAAATACCCACGACTTAAAAACAACCTGGAGCCTCACAGTCATGGCCTCTTAATTTTTAAACTGCATTTTGCAAATAAGAACAATAACAAACCCGGCCCACAGATGGCGTTAGTCATCCTCACGATGAACATCAATTAAAACCTCGAGTCAGAATCCAGCTCTGTGCGGGCAGATCTATTACTGACAAGTTGCAGATACGTTGAGATTTGCTAAATCAAATTAAATTTTGAATGTACCGGAATAGCTTGCAATTTAAAGGTAATTGATGTGAAGCCCTTAAAACAAAGAATTATTTGCACGGAAAACAATCACTCCCAATTTCTCACTCTGCAGAAGTGGACTTTGTAGTCTGGGGGAAGATTTAGGAAGAATGGGAAGAACTTCAGTGCCAGACACTCAACTCCTCCTGGTGACTTTAAGTTAATTGACCCTCTTAGTGCCCCTTACTTCT